TTCTGGAACTAGAAACCTTAAGGATTAGGAGAGAGAAACTTTGTTTATACTTTGCTAAAAAATGTCTAAAATCTCAAAGGCATTCTGCCCTATTCCCGGTAGAACCAATCACTCACAACCACTAGCTACGGAACGTTGAACCATTTACTGTCAACTATGCTAGAACGGAGAAATACAGAAAATCTGCTATTCCCTATATGCAGAGAAAATTAAACTTCCTATGATATAATCTTATCTTATTCTGTGATAAAACCCACGATATACTTAATTATATTCCTATGAGAATGTATTATGATCTTGATTTATCTCTAATAAATCTTACTTACTTACTTACTTACTTACCTATATATATATATATTTGTATCTGGTAGATCAGGAATCTCTGACGGACTCTCCGCCTTTCATTCGCCTCATACAACGAGTTAATCTTCCGTCTTCGGATTCTTATTGAACACTGCCGATCGATTCGGCTTCTACAGCTAAAGCGATGTAGTTACACTGCTGCTAAAGTCTCCTCAGATCCACAGGTTCTCTTTATGAACACTGCCGATCGATTCGGCTTCTACAGCTAAAGCGATGTAGTTATACTGCTGCTAAAGTCTCCTCAGATCCACAGGTTCTCTTTCCCTGCGGTCCTTGCTGAACCCATGGCTGGAGCTCATCTGACGTTCGGTCCCTGAGATGTACTGTTTCTCATGGACTCAGGCTGTCCAACATAACACCATGGGGAGTTCGAGTTGGATTTTCTCCATCCTCTCTTGAGGAGGGCCGGACCCGGTACCCAACTGACTTGTCCTTCCTTAAATCCCTATGTTCTAGAAGGGGGGAGGGGCAGGGTTTGTTCTTCCCTTGTGAAGTAAAATCATTGGCCTGGATTTAAATTAGAACGGATGGTTTTAGTTTGGCTTGTTCACACTTACAAATCCTGATCTTTAGTTTTCATTTCCAGCGGCCAGATATTTTGAATACAACTATACATGAGGCGGTTTATCATCCACCCTACTGCTAGCATAGACTACAGGCATTACAACATAAGCTGTAAGCTCTTCATGCTTCCATTATATTACTTATGTCTAGAATAGACTCAAAGAGTCATAACTTGTGTCTGCTTCAAAAAAAAAGATAACAAGCATTATTACATAGTAACTGAATATCCCGGGGTTGCCTGTGGAATTAAAAAGATCAATTTTTTAAAAATAAATCGAGAAAACAAAATCTACCTATATATCTATCTACCTATATATAAATATATAAAACAAAGGATCAGTTTATTATTACTCTGATTGATCCAATTTTCAAAACGACAACATCATTCACAAAAGTTTCCTTCTGTTTAGAAACATTTTGTTTGTTAACAAAAATTATGCCAATCTCTAGGCCATGTATGTTCCTATGTTTAATTGCTCCCTCCAAAATGTCCATTTCCATAGCGGAATATTTGTTGTGAATTATAAAGGTTAAAAATGGAAACCCCAGATTGGTTTCGGAATACATCAGTGTATAATTTGTAAATATGTTCATGAATTGTACACTTTGAACTCCTTTTCAGGCTCAAAATGTGTCTAATATCCTTTCTATTCAAATCTCTCTTTTGTGACTGTTAAGGGTTCTACTATAGCAAATAATGTTAAAGTGTGTTCTTTGTCTCAGTGTTTGCTTTAGAGAGGATAAGCATCAAATAGAATAACAGATGTATTTTTATATCTGCAGTATTTAAGCTTCTCCAAATAAAGGTTTAGCATCACTTGCTTCAACTACAATCACTGTAATGATTGGGTTTATTGTTCCACTTATCTTCAGCGCTGTGGCTGCTATGCCATCAACCTGTCCTGATTTACCACTACCACCCCTTGAGTGTGGACCTGACACCATGCTGTGTCCTGGTGGTATGGATTGGAATGGATGCCAAATGCCCGACATATGCATGCCCTCAATGGGACCCATGGGCATGGATGGAAATATGTGCCCTGCAATGTGCCCTACTTCTTGCGGACCAGATATGATGATGTGCCCTGGAGGCATGGATCCCAATGGATGCATGATGCCTGAAATATGCATCTCCTCAGTAGGACTCATGGCTCCCTTTGGATATCAGTGCCCAGCAATGTGCCCGACTGTTTCTTGCGGACCCAATATGATGTTATGCCCTGGTGGCATGGACTCAAACTTATGCATGATGCCTGACATTTGCATGCCCTCAATGGGACCCATGGGTCTAGATGGAAATGAGTGCCCTGCAATGTGCCCTACTACATGTACACCCGATATGATGATGTGCCCTGGAGGCATAGACTCCAATGGATGCATGATGCCTGATATGTGCGTGCCTTCCATGGGTCCATTGGACCTGGATGGAAATTGGTGCCCAGCAATGTGCCCCACTGTATGTGGACCCGATATGATGATGTGCCCTGGTGGTGCGGACCCTAATGGATGCATGATGCCAGACTTGTGCATGCCAATGGGAACTGATTGTATGACCATGATGAGCTAAAGTTTTACTGATTAAAAGAAGTTATTAAATTTAGTTTTTCATAGAATTCTACATTGTTTAATAAACATTGATCAAGTTCTAATGAACACATTTAAATGCTTCCCATGATATGATGTAATGTATGGTAGGTCTTTGAATCCCAACTAACAATATATTGCACCATCAGTCATCAGTCATCATTAAAAATGGGCAATTAGAAAATTGCACATTCTTGAACTGAATTGCTCACCAAACTTTGACATTATTTTAAAAATGAATTTTGTCTGTTTTCTAAAAACAATTTTGTACATATTCCTCGGCTTAAAATGCACATTTTTAATTATCCCCAAATCAGTTTCAAAATTGAACAAATGTAACTAAAACTTTAGTAATTCAAGTTTGATTGAATTGGATTACCAGATTGTCTTATGAAAATTTCCTAAACTATTTACAATGTACAGTAGTCCAGCATCATTAGTGCACCAACTAATGTAGTTAATTTGAGCTGCATCACTGCAATAGTTTTAATGATGGAATGTAATGAAATGTTCCTAAAAAATTAGACCAGAACCAAAAATTGCGAATTTTCTTATTACAATTTTGCAAATTTTCTGTGATTCTGTGATTCTGTGATTCAAACTTTTTAAAATTTTAGATTTCGATAGAAATAATTTATATACGCATTTTTGCTTTTCTAAACTTATGATTTGAGAGAAAAAAAGGTTCACAGATTTTTTTTGGGGCCATTGGAGTACCAAAAATGAGTTACAAAATTTCAAAAACTATTGAAAAAACACCATACAAGAGAGTTACACAAAAAAGGTGCAATTTTGCACCAGGCGCCGCAAATCACACTTTTTTTACTCACCCTGTATTTCAGGAACATCACATATGATTAAAAACTAATTAATAGTAATGCGACAATGGCAGCTTACGATATTTAAATTTTGACCCCGCAGGTCAAATTTTGTGTCTAAATTTATCATTTCATCAAGATTAAAGGGCTAGAAGTTTCTTGCTCTCGATTTAGTTGTGCCCTAAATCAAGGGGGGCAGCTTCTCAATACACCCCCCCCCTTGAAGTCGCTTCTGTTAAGTGTTCTCTAACATTTTATTTTTAGCGAACACTTTCTTCGAAATAAATATTGAATATTTTATCAATTATTTGTTATGACGACATTTAGATAAGTTTGATCAATATCACCCCCCCCCCCCCACACACTCTACTCCTCCCACAGAGAACTAAATACAAGGAGTATGCAATAGAGGGAGATTCAACTGACGCGGCCCTCCCTACCATATGATTATGATTATACATGCTTTGCAGACGGTAATTCATTTGTATAAGAAATATTTGTCTAATGTACAATTACCGCGTATACAAAAACCTATTCAGAATATTTCTTATACAAATGAAGTACCGTCTGCAAAGCAAGTATAATCATTTGGTAGGGCGGGCCGCGTCAGTTGTAACTCCCTCTATTCCATACTTCTTGACTAAATACAAATCCAAGTTCCGGTTCAGTTCGGGTTCCTCCTCTTCTTCGAGTAACTTTACACAATCTATATTTATACTTTGCTTGTCTAGGTGCATCAGGGTGTTTGCCCAGATTCCAATTTTTTTTTTAAATCGCAAATTCGGAAAGAAAAATCCACCAAAATTAGAAAATGATTCAAAATGGCCGACTTTCAGAGCAACATTGAAAAGCTAAAATTATTTATAGCACCCTAAAAGCCTAGTAACATAAAATGTATAAAACACAGTTTTATAACACGTTCAAAGTCTAACAATTTCTCGTAACGAACATTTTGTACGGTTGGAAAACCAGAATCATTCAAGATGAGCAATCATTTCTCGAGATGCCGAGTTACATAAGTGTGTTACCTCTTATAGAACATGATGAGCGTTTGCTTTTACTCAAAAATTGATTTTTAAGTGGAGTTAAAAAATTGCTGCATGCAGTTTTCGCATTTAGTGCACAAATTTTGTTTTTTGCATTTTTGTGGTTCTTGCGCTAAATTCTGGTTCCCAAGAAAGTATTTGCGAATTGTGCAAAATAATATTGTCTGCAATTTCTATTAAAGCATACGCGAAAATGACTAAAGGAATTGAGTTTTTGCCACATACATAAATTTTCTAATCCCTAAATCTTTACAACTTAATTGTGTAAACCTTCGATATTTTAAACTAACGCTACTCGAGCTACAGAAATTTATAGTTTGAAATATCAAAGGTCTTCGAATTCGGGTTGTAAAGATTCAAGGATTAGAAAATCAGAGTTTGTGGCAAAAACGCAATTCCTTTGACGCAAATTATGGAGTGCAATCATTCATGCAGTTTTCATGAACATTTTTTAGCGCAATTGAAAAAAAAATTTGTTGGTTTGCACTAAATTTATTTTGAGTAATTCTGCGCAAAAATATTTAATCTGTTCCCAAAATTAGCTGACCTTAATCCTATCACGATGGGGGGGGGGATGTTCCCCCCCCCCATGGTTTACTCTAAATAACTTAAAAATGGCTTACATTAGAACTTCTTCACTTTTAAAACATCATAGCTGTGAACAAATTTTGCTAAATAACAATGTTTTCTTTGATGCATAGGATAGGGTGGTCAAACATCGGGAATGCACCCCCCCCCCATTCTATATCAGACAAAATTGGCCCAATCGGGATAGGGTTAAAGGAGATGAGTAGTGTTCAGGTAAGAAATGAGCAGTGTTCAGGAAATGAGTAGTGTTCAGGAAATGAGTAGTGTTCAGGAAATGAGTAGTGTTAAAGAAATAAGTAGTGTTCAGGAAATGAGTAGTGTTGAGGAAATGAGCAGTGTTCAGGAAAGTAGTAGTGTTGAGGAAATGGGTAGTGTTGAGGAAATGAGAAGTGTTGAGGAAATGAGTAGTGTTGAGGAAATGAGTAGTGTTCAGGAAATGAGTAGTGTTCAGGTTAGAAATGGGTAGGGTTTCAAGTAAACGAAACGTTTCGCGCAAAAAAATGCGAAGATTTTCGGTCGCATTTCGCAAAATTTTTCGCGAAATTTTGGATTTATTCGTGAAAATGAATGAAGCAAAAACCAAGCAAAATTTACTAGAGATGAGTTGGGTTCAGATTAAAAATGAGTAGGATTCAGATTAGAGATGAGTAGGGTTCAGATTAAAAATGAGTAGGATTCAGATTAGAGATGAGTAGGGTTCAGATTAGAGATGAGGATGGCTCAGGTTAGAGATGAGTAAAGTTCAGGTTAGAGATGAGTTGGGTTAAGATTAAAAATGAGTAGGATTCAGATTAGAGATGAGTAGGGTTCAGATTAGAGATGAGAATGACTCAGGTTAGAGATGAGTAGGGTTCAGGTTAGAGATGAGTAGGGTCCAGGTTAGAGATGAGTAGGGTCCAGGTTAGAGATGAGTAGGGTTCAGGTTAGAGATGAGTAGGGTCCAGGTTAGAGATGTGTAGGGTTCAGGTTAGAGATGAGAGTAGGGTCCAGGTTAGAGATGTGTAGGGTTCAGGTTAGAGATGAATAGGGTTGGGTTAGAGACGAGTAGGGTTCAGGTTAGAGATGAGTAGGGTTCAGGTTAGAGATGAGTAGGGTTTATGGTTAGAGATGGGAAGGGTTCAGGTTAGAGATATGAAGGGTTCCGATTAGAGATGGATGAATATTTTGCAGAGGATTCAGATTAGAGATGAGTTGGGTTCAAGGTAAAAAAGAGTAGTGTTTAGGTTAGCGGTAAGTAAGATTCAGGTTAGGAATGAGTAAGGTTTAGATTAGAAATGAGTAGGGTTCATGTTAGAGATTAGTAGGGTTGAGGTTAAAGATAAGTATGGTTCAGGTTAAATTAGAAATGAGTAGGAGAATGAGCAGTGTTCAGGTTGGAAACGAGTAGGGTTCAGGTTAGGGATAAATCGGGTTTAGGTTATGGATAAGTAGGGTTAAGGTTATGGATAAGTAGGGTTTAGGTTATGGATAAGAAGGGTTTAGGTTAGAGATAAGAAGGGTTCAGGTTTTAGATGGTTGAGTATTAAGTAGGGGTCAGATAAGACATAAGTATGATTTAGATTAGAGATAAGTAGGTTTAAGATTAGAGATGAGAAGGTTTCAGGTTAGATTAAAAATGAGTAGGTTTAATATTAGAGATTAGTGTAGTTCAGTTTAGGGATGAGAAGGGTTCAGAATATAAATAAGTATAATTAATGTTAGAGATATGTATAGTTTAGATTAGAGATGAGGAGGATTCAGGTTAAAAACGAGAAGGTTTAAGGCTAGAGATGAGTGGGGGTTCAGATTAAAGATGAGTAGGGTTCAGATTGGAGATGAGTAGGGTTCAGTCTAGAGATGAGTAGGGATCAGGGTGGAGATGAGTAGGGTTCAGATTAGAGATGAGAATGGTTCAGATTAGAGATGAGTAGAGTTCAGGGTTGAGATGAATAGGGTTCAGGTTAGAGATGAGTAGAGTTCAGGGTTGAGATTAGGAGGGTTCAGGTAGGGATGTTAACGTTTTCATTTTTTTTTAAACGATCGTTTTTTTCGTGTTCCTATCGTTTTTTGTTTCGTTTTCCGATCGTTTTAAAAAATATCGTTTTTTTAAAAAGTATTTAAAACGATTGTTTTTAAAATGATCGGAAAACGAAACAAAAAACGATAGGAAAACGAAAAAAACGATCGTTTAATGATCGTTTTCAAAAACGATTATCAACCCTAGGTTCAGGTTAGAAATGAGGAGGGTTCAGATTAGAGATGAGGAGGGTTCAGATTAGAGATGAGGAGGGTTCAGGTTAGAGATGAGGAGGGTTCAGGTTAGAAATGAGGAGGGTTCAGATTAGTGATGAGGAGGGATCAGGGTTGAGATGATTATATTGTTTAGGTTGGAAAGATACTCTAGCCCTTTTCATACAGGGTTACCAACAAAGAACGAGACCGTAAAGACGACCTAAAACTCATTAAATGTAACTACCCCAAGGTTAAATTGAGTCTGATGACTTTAATATAGATTTTTTTTTGACAATTTTAATGATTAGGCAACAAATGAAACAAGTTGTTAGTTGCACAGACAGTATAAATTGCGTACAATCGTCTCTAAAGTCTCATTCTTTTGTGGATTTATAACCTACGCTTCTCAACCTGAACCCTACAGTTTTTAGACAATGTCAGAAAATCTTTTTTTATGAAAAACTTGGGTTAAGATTAAATTCCACACTTTTCTAAAAAGTTGGGAATTTGATTAATTTTCTTTTCAGATCATAAATAAATATAGTCCACATTGTTTAATATTTTCATATAATTTATAAATACATTCCATGTTAATCAATTTTTTCAGATCATATTATAAATATAGTCCACTTTGGTCAATTTTATTAGATCATATATAAATATAGTCCACTTTGGTCAATTTTATTAGATCATATATAAATATAGTCCACTTTGGTCAATTTTATTAGATCATATATAAATATAGTCCACTTTGGTCAATTTTATTAGATCATATATAAATATAGTCCACTTTGGTCAATTTTATTAGATCATATATAGATATAGTCCACTTTGGTCACAGATAGGACACATGATGTCGTCTTCTCAAGATTTGAATGAACTACTTTCATCGTATCTGTTATTTTAATTAACTTATAAAAATAATCATCTAAAATATTATTTTTCAGATATTTTTGTTAAAAATCTTCAGTATTTAAGGTTTTACAAATACAAAGGCTCTGTTGATTGTACTCATTTAGAGAGCAAACATTGAGATAATATACACTTGCGAATTATTTGATTTAGTTTTATCTATATTTGGATCGGTCCTGGGCTGTACTGTCCTTTTATTGTTTTCAATAATTATATTTAACACTTGTTACACTGCGTGTCAAACAAGTATGCAACTAAGTTTTTTACAGGATTCAAGGGAAAGGTAGAAAAAAAAGATATTTACAAAGATTGACTCCTTATGATTAAAAACATTTTATCAAGACAAAATAAACATTTAAATAATTTTTTAAGCAAAACTGATATTGTTATCTATCACATGTCTTTCTATGAAATGTCTTTCTATGATATTGTTATCTACAGGGTGTCCCACGAAACATGACACTAGCAAGACGAATTGAAAGTCGTCTTTCAACTTTTAAGTTATTGGTGACGTTCAGTCTTCAACCTTCTTTTTCATGCATGATTCCTGCATGAAACAATTACCACAAAATTCGCCTAGTCCTGCCGTTTCCAAAATGTGGTCTGCGTTTTTGTGCATTCACCAATACCGGAGATATTAAGAATTTCGTTCAGATTTGATTTTTATTAAATAAAACCAAAACTGTCCAAATCTGAAGGAAATTCATCATATCTCCGGAAATATTGAAAGCACAAAAAAGGCAGACCACAATTTGGAAATGCCAAGACAAGGGTTATTTTGTCATTATTAATTCTAGAATTTTCCTCCTAAAAAAAGTTTACGAAAAAATGCCGTAAATTATTTCAAAGTTCTAAGACGACCTTCAAAATCGTCTAGCTATTGTCATGTTTCGTGGGACACCCTGTATCACATGTCTTTCTATGAAATGTCTTTCTATGATATTGTTATCTATCACATGTCTTTCTATTAAATGTCTTTCTATGAAATGTCTTTCTAATGTCCCAACGCCAGTGTATATAATATGCATTCTATAAATACCATTACCTACAAAGAGACGCTTCAAACTTTGAAATAAGAAGACGACATTTAAGCCCTCCTATGTATTTGTTCATTGGACTTTCTACAAACCATAATTTAAATCCTATTTCACAGTTTTATGTCCTAAAGTAGTGTTTAAACACTGTATTACACTGATCAGTGAACAGATATTATTTATCTATTTTTTTCATAGTTTCTGTACACGCGTAATTTCAAGTGACCTCCATTTATAGAGTGGTATGTCCGATACACAACGATACTCATAAAACAATTATGATTGAAATAAACTTATTTTCCTCTCCGAAAATTCATTGTTTAATTGTGTTGTGGCTTGCGGAATCATATATAACTGAGAAAATTAAGTTAGTTGTTTGTAATTTGTATGCCCAATCATAACTCATGAACTTCTTGATTTTGAATTGGGAAATTCAAAGGAACCCAAAGAATTTCTAAGCTTAAAAATTAAATTTGGGTTAGTTGAGTTTTATAAAGAAAACTTTTTTTCCAGGCCACGCTGGGATTCCAAGCTATTAATATTGTGAGATAATATCAATAAAATGATTTTTTAACCTTTTAGTTGTAGATTTATTGTTTAAATTGTTTAAATTTCTTTATTTTTGTTCTAGAAAATGGAATATCCTGTTTGTTGGACTGATAGACCTAGACAAAACCTAGAACTTGGACTAGGGGAGATAACTTGGTAGGTTCAATCAAACCTTTGTTTTGGCCTTGACTTTGACCTTGATATTGACATTAACATTGACTTTGGAATTAACATTGACTTTAACATTGACATTAACATTAACTTTGAAATTAACATTGACTTTGAAATTAACATTGACTGTGAAATTAACATTGACTTTGAAATTAACATTGACTTTGAAATTAACATTGACTTTGACATTGACACTAACATTAACTTTGAAATTAACATTGACTTTGACATTAACATTGACTTTGAAATTAACATTGACCTTGACATTATCATTGACTTTGAAATTAACATTGACCTTGACATTATCATTGACTTTGACATAAACATTGACCTTGACATTAACATTGACCTTTACATTAACATTGACCTTGACATTAACATAAACCTTAACCTTAACATTGACCTTGACATTAACATTGACTTTAAAATTAACATTGACTTTGACGTTAACATTGACTTTGACATTAACAATTACTTTGACAATAACATTGACTTTGAAATTAAAATTGACCTTGACATCAACATTTACCTTGAAATTAACATTGACCTTGACATTATCATTGACTTTGACATAAACATTGACCTTGACATTAACATGGACCTTGACATTATCATTGACCTTGACATTAACATTGACCTTGACATTAACATTGACCTTGACATTAACATTTACCTTGACATCAGGTGGGGGTTCAGCAGCTGGATTGAGCTAGGTCCAGCTGGTTGTTTAGTGGCAGGAGGAGGTGATCCTAGGCACATACTCTATACTCTAGCTCATAATACAAATGTAAGTTCTTTTATTTTATTTAAATATTGGAAAAAAATTGCGATGAAAAAATATTGTAGGTGAAAATTTACTTGTTGGAGCAAAAACTTGAAGTTTACGCTAAACAGGTAAAATTTATCTAAACACAGTTCGTCTTGAGGTGGGAACTGATCTTGTATTGTTTCATATTTTCATTTCATATTTTATTCAACTACAAAGCACTAGATAATACAAATAAAAAGATCACAATTTACTATGTAGTTTGGACCCGCCTAACCAGAGTAGGTTGTTTTAATTGGTTGGCCCACTATAAACGAA